TCCCACATATGAGGGCCAGTGACACTGCCCTCTACAGCTAAGATGCTGAACAACAGCTCAACCTGGAGCTGGGCTGCCGTGGGTCGCTGGCGACGGCATAGGCTGCAGCCCCTGCTGCAGTGGGTTGCCATGGGCTACCGTGTGTGGCCAGCAGCCGCTGTGAGCGGCCGTCCAGAGGCTGGCAACTGATCTGCCTCACCCGAGAAGAACGCAATGATGGTGCCAGCTTGGGCCAGTGAAGCAACATCCTCCACAACTAGACTGAAGAACAAACCAACAGCAACTTGTCTCTTCCCCTTCCCCCAATTCCCCAGCGCTGCTCCCCTTCCCCAATTCCCCAATAAAATCTTAAAAAAAACAAAACTAAACATTGATTATTTCACCCAGAGGCCATCCTTGTTCATCATTGTACTATAGCCCCTTGGTCATTTTCTGAGGGATCCTACTCATGAGCAATTTGGGACACTGCTTCTCTCTTGATATTATAAGCGTGTCTCCTGTTGAAGCAAATATTCTGAAAAATGATTTTTAGCACACTGGCCCATTTGCTGGTGTTCTGTCATTTTCCTGGGTTGGGTTGGCTTTCAGTGAGAATGCACAGTGGCCAGGTGGCGGAGGCTTTTTCTAGCCCCAAGTGCCTGCCTGTGGGTCCCTGCTGCGGTCGGGCCCAGGCTCCTTGCTGGTTACTCTTGAACAAACGAATTGGCACCCTTACCAAAACTTGGGCAGTGCTCCGAACGTGTGTTAAAGCGTCATATATATACATGTGCAAGTGCAGCCAGGCAGCCACAGCAGCCTGGCAGAGAGATTTGAGTCCTAGACAACCCCACTCTTGGGCTGACTTACAACTTGAGATCATAAAAGCAGTTCCTGGCTGACAAGTGAAAATGCAGCATTGCTAACCGGACTCCGTGGTTTGACAAACATGAAAGGAATGTGGTATTTCAAAGACCACGTCCTCCTGCTCCTAGAGATTACAAACCCCTGGCTTGGTTCTTGAATGACTTCACTGTGCCCACTCACCTGTGACCTGTGGGGTGCTTGGGGCCAAGCTCAAGGGCTGGGAGCTTCCTGGAAAAGGGCGCTGTGTCCCCTTGTCTCACCTCTGACACCTTCATTTGTTCAACTCGACAGCGCATTGGCTACCTCGCTGCTTCCCAGTGCTTTCATGAAGGCACTGATGTCATCATGCTGACAACAAACCAGATCCGCAAGGTATGCCGCCCCTCCTGCAGGCCCCACTGCCTCCTCGGCCCCGCGGCTCAGCTTCTTTGGGCCCCCGTGTGTGTCTATATTCTTCACTCTGGTTTCTTAGTCGCTCATGTGTGAATAGAAAGTGCTGAGGTCAGCAAGATCTCACTGTCACCATTCCCTTAGCAAGCAGCCTTCCACCTGCAGCCTTGTCATCCCCAAGAGACACGCAGACATGGTGGAGCAGGTTTGCCCTTCCACCCAGCGGGTGGGAGAGGCGGCAGATCACTCGACAGCTCTCTTTTCCTTTTCACTTCTTGGCGAGGGCTGTCTCCGCAGTCATGTTCCTCCTTTCTGGTCCTCTCCCTCTCGCCAGAGTGCCTGCTGAGGTTACGCCCTCCCTCCCAGTGTGGAGGCTTTATGCCCATTAGGTCTTTTGAGTTAGACTGCATGTGTACTTCATTTGCATGTTTTGAAATGGGCTTTGAAGACCACTGAGTAATACATTTTCTCCTTGGCCCCAGTACATGGAGCATCTTTTGTTTACTGCCTCATGGCGGAGTGGTCAGAGAGGGTGTCAGCGAGAATCAGAGACCCACCCTTCCCCAGCGCAGACCACAAGTCAGAGACCATAGCCCGTAGCCCCAGGCTCTCCATGACCAGGTGCCAGGGACAGATTCTTGTGAGCTCTGGTCACCCCACGCAGTGAGTGACCTGGTGAACTGGGAGTGGGTTCCCAGGCAGATGCTGTGGGCAGGCTGGCTGGCTGTGTGGGTATTGGTGCCCAGCACAGGATGAGATATGAGCCTGAGAGCTTGACCTGTCACACTCACAGTTCTGGGGGGACCAGCTCACAACTGTGGGCCAGGTTGCACAACAGTGCTGGGGGGTCATAGATACCAGGGAGCGGTGAGGTGTGAGTTTGGCCTGGAGTGGCTCTGGATAGGAGGAGGGGAGGGCTGAGTGAGCGCTCTGGGTGTGGGGTGCTGGGACCGTAAGTGGGAGGGTGGCAGGAGAGAGGAGGGTGGAGGGTCTCTAGCCGCCTGGCTACCTGGACACCATCCAGCCCGCTCGCTGAGGTCCATCTTTGGTTTTCCTGCTGATCATCTTGGCACAGCCTTGCACCTTTGTAACAGCGTTGATATAGACATAGATTTGTCACTGCTTCACATTGAGCTGTGTTAGAGGCAGGTCACTTAGATCTGCCCTCTGGGGAGATGGCAGGAGCCTGAGATGTCCTCATAATTGAGGGAACAGTGCATCCTGTTATAGTAAGATCTGGGCAGGTGACCTTGACCCTTGCCACTGCTTCCTCTGCCTGTTGCTGTCTTAGTCTTGCAGAAAGGGTCCTATCTTTAAGCAGCCACAGCCGCTCCTGCCACTGCCATTCCTCTCCATTCATGTCCCCAATATTGGCTATCCCTGTGTGTATGTGCCATTGTAAATGAACCTGAGACTTCTGAACACAAGTGCCAGGGACCTGCCCTCCGGGGCTGGACTTCTCCTGCTTGACGATGACTGAGTCCTCTCCACAAAGTCCCATTGCTGAGGAGCCCTGTGGCAGCTCCCCGTAGTGTCTGCCGCTCTGCTCTGCCCTTTGTGAGTCACGCAGAGATGCACAGTTCAGCCTTTCAGGCCAAGTTCTGTGCCATGGCTTCCAATGTGGTTTTCTCTCCTCAGCCTGGACTAGAGGGATTTTAGAAGCCAGTGTTTTCAAATAATTACCACAGTCGAGAAGCTTAATTCTTTAAAATGCATCTCAGTATATTTTTACCACATATGCATGTATAAAAAGTTTTGGGAGGGGTTCCTTAGAATATGTCTCTGCAAGAGCAGTTTTGTGATAAGAACACTTCCCTAGTTTTGAGATGCGGCGCTCGTGTGGTCAGTCTTAGTGAGAACTAGAAATGGAGGACCGGCCGCAGGTGAGACGTGAGTGGAGGGTAGGGCAGGTACGTGCTCCTCCTCACCTGGAGGATGGGGCCAGGCCGAACCTTCTGCTTTGGGGAGGGGCCCAGAGGAGTGGTCTATGGCCATTATAGGGGAGACACCTCAATGGAAGCAGGGGTGCCAGGGCTCCCCACCATATGCCTGATGGGTGGCTGGGGTCAGCGGGCCTCACTGTCTCCTTGGCCCTGGGTTCTTAGGCAGGGCGCTTCCTCAAGAGCCCAGCCCCGGTTGCACCCCTGGGACGGGCTGTGCAGGGAGCCAGGGGCAGCCCTCTTCTTAGACCCATCATGCTCTTCTCAGCGACAGCAAGGAGTTGGCTGCTCCATGTTATTCCTCAGGTTGGCAGGGGCACCGGGTACCCGGGCAATGCACGGTTGGCGCCCGCCCTTAACCCTTCTCCTTCCCTTTTCCAGGACCTGAGCAGCCCCAGCCAGTATGACACTGGTGTTGCACTGACTGGCCTGTCCTGTTTTGTTACCCCAGATCTTGCCAGGGACTTAGCCAATGACATCATGACACTGGTGAGTTTGTGAGTGTGCTGCCACCCCTGGGCCATTGCTCTGTGAGGAGATTTGGAATGTACGGGTAACTGGAAAACCAAGGCTAAAACATCATACCAAGAACACTGGGGCATGCGGAAATGGGCTGGGGTCCCCAGGATGACAGGAGAAATTGAGTCACTGTCTTCCCCTCCAGCACTTGGTGGGGCTGTCCTGGGGCCACTGTCATTCTTGTATTATTTCATCTCCTTTGAAATAGTGCTGCTTGGGGAAGGGGTGGGTGTTGCTGGCGGGTTAGGTCTGACCAAGGGTGGTTACCCACACAGTCAGGCACATGACCCAGTTACTCTCTTATTGAGGCCTAGGTGATGGTAGCAGTTGTCCCAACAGGCAGTGTGCTCAGGGTGATCCTTTCCTTCCTCCTTCATTGCCGATGCCATTCATTTCTGTCCAGCCTCAGGTTGACTACTTATAGCTCAGTTAATCCGAAAGGCATAACCCCAGCCAGTCCTGATCTCCAGGGTGTCTGGAAGTCATTCTAAATACGGACGTCCTTCTAGAAACCATGGTCCTCAGAGACACTGACTACCAGGTCTCCAACTCCTGGGGGTGGGGGTGGGGGTGGGGAAGGGGGCTTCTTTCCTCTTGGGTCACGTTAAAGCCTCATAGAGGCTCTGTCCTTACACAGTCAGCCTGTTTGCTGTGCAGTGGGCAGGTGTCGGCTCATGGTCTCTGTCTCTCAGTACAGTCAGCTTCTAGATCAGGGCAGCATATCACAGCCGCCTATTAATCATTTTATCCAAATGGCTCTGCCCATTTGGTCACACCTTGTGGCAGCTTCCAAGCTCAAAGGCAGTGCCAAGTAGTCAGACAGACCTGGCCTACCAAGCCAAAAATAGTGACCATCAGGCAATTTCAGAAAGTGTGCTGAACTGGTCTAGGTGACAACGGTTTGAACCCATAGGAGTGTTAGTGATTTGCTCACAGTGCATGTTGGTGCTGGGGGCGTTTCTCAGGGAGAGCCTCCCTGGGGCCTTGACAGGTAAGGTGTGTGTCCACATGGTGACGAGAGGCCTTCCTGACCAGAGCCAGGGTCCCAGGAGGACAGAGTCCAGGGCAGTGCAGTGTGGAGACGCCAAGCAGACTGAGGCCCAGGCTGCGGGAGCCTGGGATGCCCCTCAGCATCCAGCTCTGGGGACAGGCCTTGGCATCTGGAATGCCACTGTTGAGTGTGACCTTCCTTTCACCTGCTTCCCATCCCTCAGTGGTCCCAAGTGAGTTTAGGAGGAGGGTCTCAGCCTGCGGACAACATGCCTAGGGCAGGTTTCGGTTGTGTCTAGGACACCATTGTATGATCCCTGGACTTGGTGGGGCTGCAGAGCAGGTGTGCAGATGGGGCTCAAAAGCTGGAGCCGGAGAGAGGGTTTTCCTCCGAGGAACGGAGGTGAGACACAGGCAGGTGTAGGAGGTGAGCAGAGCAGTCTGGGAGGTGCACACAGGTAAGCAGGACAGGGTAGGAGGTGAGTACTCAGGTGAGCTGGACAGGGTAAGAGGTGAGCAGGCAGGTGAGCCGGGCAGCCTGGGAAATGAGCACACGGGAGCTGGATAGTGTGGGAGGTGAGTACTCAGGTGAGCAGGACAGGGTGGGAGTTGAGCACACAGGTGAGCGGTCAGGGTGGGAGATGAACCCACAGGGGAACAGAGTGGGAGGTGAGCCAAGGGAGCTTGACGGTCGCCTGCCCCTGCAGATGTCGCACACCAAGCCGTACATCCGGAAGAAGGCTGTGCTGATCATGTACAAGGTGTTCCTGAAGTACCCTGAGTCCCTGCGCCCCGCCTTCCCACGCCTCAAAGAAAAGCTGGAGGACCCAGATCCTGGTTTGTTGGTTTGAGTTAAGATGGGGATTGTCAGTGACCTGGTGGTGAGGAAGCTGTAAGAGGGCACTGGTTCAGGACACATGCCCTACTGTCTCCCCACCAGAGGCACCACCACAAAGTTTCTGGTGCCACAGGGGCGGGTTGGGCCCTGGAATCTACCATCTCTCCAAGTAGCCTTGCTCCCATTTATTTCTGCAAGATCTAGACATTGAGATTGAGGCGCTGGCTGTGCTCAAGCTGCTGTGGTGTTGATCTTCTAGACACACTGGGGAGGGCCTGTCTGGGCGTGTGTCCACATAGTAGCTGCCAGGAGCTTACTCCCATGCCTCTACCCCTATCCCACTGCATGGGGCTCATTGCAGCCTACCCTCTGCTTGGCTTTTTCTGTAACTCCTCCTGTGGGGAGACCCTGGGCTGAACAGCTGTAAAATAGCTTCTCTAAAATGCTGTGGATTCCCATGTGTCTCGGGGATCTGCCCTGCACCATGGGGAATCATAGGGTGCAGAAAGTTCTGGCTGGGGAAGTTCCAGGCAAGGCAGCAGGCACGGCAGGCTGGGGGCGAAAGTGGCGGCCGCCTTGGGTGGAAGGCAATGTAGTCACTTCACGTAGTGGGCGTCCTGCTCCTGTAGTCACTTTGATCCTGCAATACCCAGCCCTGCAGCCTTGGGCCTCCTTCTCTTAGGGGCGGTGGTGGTCAGGGCTCCGAGGGGTTGGGGTTTGAGCTGTGCCCACAAGTGATGGGCACAGTGCCAGGCACAGCAGGGGCCCTGCACATGGAACATCCAGTCTGCTGAGGACCCCCCTCCCCCATTATTAATGGGGACATCCCTTACCTCACAGGAGTCCAGTCGGCAGCAGTCAACGTCATCTGTGAGCTGGCCAGGCGCAATCCCAAAAACTACCTTTCCCTAGCCCCACTGTTCTTCAAGCTGATGACCTCCTCGACCAACAACTGGGTCCTCATCAAAATCATCAAACTGGCACGTTTCCCTGACCTTCCCTCTTGTGTGTGGAAAGGCCATGGAGCTTTCGGTGCTGCAGGGTGTCCTGGGAGCTTTCGGTGCTGCAGGGTGGGAGGTGGGGTTGGACAGCGTGGTTGTGTGGAATCCCAGACATGCAGTCCTGCTCCTGCTGTCTGTGACCCACTGGCCTCTCATCCCCTAGTTCGGTGCTCTGACCCCCTTGGAGCCGAGGTTGGGCAAGAAGCTGATCGAGCCTCTCACCAACTTGATCCACAGGTGAGCCTTGGGACCCCATCCTCAGCCCTGTCTGCCTCAGGAAGGCCTGTGCTCCCTGGGGCACGCCCAAGGGAAGTCTCAGGATCCAGAAATAAGCACACAGGGTGACTTTGCTCCAGATGAGGAGCTGTGCCTTGGCACCGGCCGGCCCTCCTGGAACATGGACTGGGCTGGCTTTCCCTCTCATTCAGCTTTTGAAACAGCAAAAACAAGGAAGAAAGGTGCCCCACTCAGCCCCCTGGTCACAGTGGGCCTCAGTGGTCTCAGTCGAGACCCTTAGACAACTGTGTCGCTGGCCAATTCTGGAATGTTCTAAGGGCTTCAACACCACCCTGGATGCCTGTGGTTGAATTATTGGGACTGAGCAGCAGGTGGCTTGGTAGATCTGCCCCCAGGGTCCCAACAGCAGGTGGCTATGGGAGGGAGACAGGAGGAACTGGAGCCACATGCTCCTCCAAGTGAATCCCAGCCTCGGGCAAGTCTCTGCCATCTCCTGGCTCATAAACCAATCAGATGTTAAAAGAATTAGGTACAAAAGATATCTGGGCTTGGGACATTTTTGGTTTTAAATGAATAACCAGTCACAGAGTTCATAGTGTAGCCATGGTTTTCAGAGGTGATTAACAAGAGGCTGTTGGTCATGTAACCAGGGATGTGGACCAGCTCTGATGATACGCTGGTGATTAGGCTAGAGAGCATCACCCGCGAGAATTATCAGTGGAGTAGATGCTCTGAGTGCCTGCCTCAGTCGTCAGTCGGCTGTGCTCCCCACGTCCCCTAGGTGACCTGGGGTAGCATTGGGGCAGCACACTTCTGTGTTCTGACTGTCACTCAGCCTCCCCCGTTGGAGTAGAGCTAGGCAATGGTGTTCTAGGCTGCTAGAATCTCCGTGCTGCCAGAGGGAATTTGTATTGTCTTCATGGGTGTCACACAATTGTAAGGCTAGGGGAACAGGTGCCTGTGGTCGCCTGTGGTGACTAGAAGGGGGGTGCTTTTGTCCTTTGGAGCATTCTCATGACTCAGGTGAGAGCAGCTGCTGGGCCGTACTGACCAGGCAGAGGTGCCAGGAGCATGGACTGCAGCCCCACCTTGGAGAGGAGGAGAGGCGAGAGAGGTCTGAGCCAAAGGGTGGTGCCATCCCCAACGTGGCTTTCAGACGTTAGGTGTCAGGGCCTCATTGCCACCACGACTGCACTTTCCCAGACAGTGCAGAGCGACACATTTACAGTTCTCACGTCTCTTGTTTTCCTTCTCCAGCACATCTGCCATGTCCCTTCTCTACGAGTGTGTGAACACTGTCATCGCAGGTGAGAACTGGTACCTGGTTCTGGGGGCTCAGGCGGGGATGGGAGGGTGCTGGTCCTGGTGGTGGGGCCTGTGACAGGCTTATCCCAGATGGCTGTTCCCAGGCCCCACCAGTGTGGTGCAAAGTTACCTGGAGTTGCAGGTTCCCACCCGCCCTCAGTGCTGGGTGTTTTCTGCCATCTCTGAGACATGCCCAGCCCCGTCTGGAACCCATGGGAAGTGTCATGGCCAGAGCCCACTGCCCTCTTGCGGTCTCCCATGTTACACCCTGCCATTCTTGGCCCACCCATCACACCCACCTCAGGCCCTTGTTTTTCTGAGTATTTTAAAGCAGATCTCTGGCATCCTCCATTTCCCCTGCAGGCACATAGGTGTAGGACTCCACAGCAGACAGACTGAGGAGCAGACTGTGAGGCGCAGTCACGTGTGCTCCTCAGGTGTCCTGAGAGGCTGTTTGTTGGGGTCGGGACCCGGCCCAGGGCCACGCAGAGTGCTGCAGATGTGTGTCCACACTGTTGAGTTAGAGGCCCCTCTACCCTGTATCTGTTGGGACCCAGGCCCAGCTGGCCGTCTCCTGGTTTGCTGTCTTGAGTGCCATGTTCCTGCAGCCCGGTGCCTTGTAGACCAGCAATGGGAGCTAGTGGCTTGAGGGACTCAGTCTCTCACTACCTGCCTGTTCCTGCCAATCCCTTCCCAAAGATGTTGGGAGGCAGCCTCAGGATCCCGTGGGCAGCCTTACATGCAGTGATGCACAGGAGCCTGGCCCAGGGTCTGTGCTCCATGTCTACCTCCATGGATTGGGCCGTGAGTGTCCTTGTGGCTTGTTGACAGTAAAGGAGAGCAAGGGTGGGTGTGTGGGGCAGGGCAGTGGCTGGAGGTGGAGACTGCAGACCCCGGAGAGTGGGCTTCTGCATCTGGAAAATCAGTTGGGAAGACTGGGCGTGACAGGGTCAGATGGCCCTGGAGATGGGTGGAGCACTTGGGGGTGCAGGGAGAGTGGTGGGCCTGGGTGAGGCTTTCTAGGGGCTGGCACATTGCAGGGGCAGCGGGTCTTAGGAGATTGTGCTGCGCCTTGGGCAGGAGTGTGTAGCCTGAGCTCCACAGAACTGTGGGCAGAGACAGAGCCCTTAGGTCTTTGATCTGCTCTCTTGGCCACAGAGACCCAATGCTCAGGGTTCTCACTGGGGGCCCAGCACATACGAGATCCCAGACTCCAGGAGGAGAGTGGGTACTCAGGGTGAACTGTGTGTTTGCACAGACTGTTTAGGGACAGGGAGGGTCTCCCCCACCCCACCCCCACCATCTGTGTGGGTGGCGGGCACCACCAGAGTCCAGTTCCCAGGTACTGCCTCTGGGGGCTGGCCTCTTAAGGCTGACTTTCCAGGGCATGCATGCAGGCAGACTGCTGTGTTAACCCTTTCCTGCACAAATGTCAACTGGGCCATGCAGTTCCCAATGTGGTGGTATTTTCGTCTTGGGTCTCTCCCACTGAACAAACAGTGGACACGTCGAGTGGGCTCCTAACCTAAGGTTGTCTGTTTCAGTTCTCATCTCCCTGTCCTCCGGCATGCCTAACCACAGTGCCAGCATCCAGGTTCGTACCGGGCCAGACACACAGTACAGGGTCCTGAGGATCTCCCATCGCTGGGCCTTTTTTTTCCTCCCCTTGGTGCCCCGCTCTGGAAGCCCCTGCCCCTGTGGCCTGACTGAAGCCGGCCCACCCTTGCACACCACCATCATTCATGCCCAGTGCCCTGTACTGTGCCTGGGAAGAAGCAAGCCAGTGGCCATATCGCTTCTGCCTGACTGCCCTGGTGACAGCTCCCTAGCAGCTCCTGGCTCCCGCTGCAGTCACCGGAGCACGTGCCTATGTCTTAACCCCCACCACCCTCGATCTCCAGCTTGTCATCCCTGTAAATGCTGCATCCATCCTGGAGCACAGAGCCCCAGGGGCTCCCTGAGTGGCCTAAGGACAATTGCAGTGGTCACCCTATTGTTTGGGGGGTGGGGGGGCGTTGGAGTTTATTTTAGTTACATAAATAATTTTCAAGTAGGTCCTCAGATCCCAGCCTTTCCCCAGAAGACACCACCATGCTCCTCTTGTGTTCTCACACATGTGGGCACCAGTGGCAGCGCCAGGTTGTCCCGTGCATGTTTCTGTGGGCACTTCCCATGCATCCATCTTGGGACCTGCTGTCTGTCCTCTGCGGTGCCTCCTGTATGGTGGGTCTCCGTCCACAGTGAGGCCCCCGTGTGTGCAGGCTCCCTCCATGGGCCAGTGGGGTAGGCCCAGGGTCGCTGCATTCACCATGGCTTCAAGAGATCAATGTTATCTCCCCATTTGTAGCTTTGTGTTCAGAAGTTGAGGATATTAATAGAAGACTCCGATCAAAACTGTAAGTCACTGCCCTCCCTCCGTAGAGCTGTGTGTGTTCCCTTTGGGAGGCATGTTGTTATCTCGTAATTATGGTTCCCTGGTAGCTTTCCCAACTGGCACAGAGCAACTCTGCACGTGCTCGCTTTTTGTAGACATGTTCTTTCGAGGGGTTCCAGCCAGTAACACTGCCTGGTGCCTCACTGCATTGACCAGGGTTTCTGAGGTCCAGGCGTGTTGGCCACTCGTTTTGAGTGCACATCTGTTTGTTTAGAGCCCAATTAGCTAGTAACGTTTGAGTTTTCACAGCCACATAGTCCCTGGTGGTGTAGCCCAGAAGCCGCCTTAGTCGATGTGAGTGATGGGTGTGGCCATGTGCCGGCTCTCCTGCGTTCACAGAATAAGCTTTGGGCTGGACATCGCCTGTGAGCTGCAGTTTGCCACCCCTGGTTTATATGGTCTTGTATCGGGGCCACTTGGCAGTGGACAGTGTGGCCCCTGATATGTGAGGTCCTTGTGGGGCACGCAGAGCCTGGGATACTCTGTCAACTCCCCTGGCACAGGCTGGGCAGGAAGGTGGGTGTCATGTTCATGGCCACACTTAGAAAGCATTGGTGACCACTTTGAGTGACAGAGGTAACAGCTAGTGTGCAGGGTGGCCTTCCTTTCTTTTTGATGACGTGCTCCAAGGCTGGCTTTCCCACCACACCCTGCAGAGCACACTTTGAGTCTACCATGCCATCTAGGACACCTGGGTGCCAGCTGTGAGACACGTCTTAGAGCACCCTGGTTGTGAAGGCCGGTGGTGGGCTGTGCTGCAGACTGTCGGCCCCGAAGCCTATTGGGGGTACATACAGGTTTAACCACGCCTCGTGTCTCCTCAGTGAAGTACCTGGGGCTGTTGGCCATGTCTAAGATCCTGAGAACGCACCCCAAGTCCGTGCAGGCCCACAAGGACCTCGTCCTGCAGTGTCTGGATGACAAGGACGAGTCCATCCGGCTGCGGGCCCTCGACCTCCTGTACGGAATGGTGCGTGCCTCTCCTGGGTGGGTGTTCGCTGTTCCATGTCCCCCGCCCGGCCCCACCCTCACCATCACCCCCCACCCCTCCCAGGTGTCCAAGAAGAACTTGATGGAGATTGTCAAGAAGCTGATGATGCACGTGGACAAAGCGGAGGGCACAACCTATCGGGATGAGCTGCTCACCAAGATCATTGACATTTGTAGCCAGTCCAACTACCAGCACATCACCAACTTCGAGTGGTGCGTGCCCGCGGCTGGGGTGTGGGCTGGCCTCAAGTCGGGCACATCTCACTGGCTCCCTCCCACCTGTAGGTACATCAGCATCCTGGTGGAGCTGACCCGGCTGGAAGGCACCCGCCATGGCCACCTCATCGCCGCGCAGATGTTGGACGTGGCCATCCGTGTGAAAGCCATCCGCAGGTTTGCCGTGTCACAGATGTCTGCACTTCTTGACAGCTCCCACCTGGTGACCAGCAGCACCCAGCGCAACGGACTCTGTGAGGTGCTCTACGCGGCCGCCTGGATCTGCGGGGAGTTCTCCGAGTGAGTGGGTACAGAGCCCTGGGCCTGTGCTCCCAAGGGGAAGAGATAAGGGACTGTGCCCGGCACCTGCTGCACTGAAGCCTGGTCAGAGAGCGCTGTGGCCGCTTTCTCCTCGGGAAACAGTCTGCAGGCCGTGGGACCCAGGACCTGCCATCTGCAGGCCTAGGGTAGTTTTCCAAGTTCCTTTTGCCTGCCACTGGTTGTCCATCGCACATTCATGCGTGTGAACAAGTTTCCTTTCCTTTTTCTCCTTATTCTTCTCCATTTGGCTACTCCATGATTGTCACTTCATTGCTATGGTTTCCTGTTTCAGATCCCCTCCCTCAGCCCCTGATGCTGGGTGGGGTCTTGAGCACACCCACCCACCCCCTTCAGCAGAGCACCTAGCCCTTCTTTTTGGCTCCCGGGAAACCCCATGGCGAGGAGCAGCTGGGCACATCCTCACCTGGCCTCCCTGCCCTCAGGCATCTGCAGGAGCCCCAGCAGACCCTGGAGGCCATGCTGCGGCCCAAGGTCACCACCCTACCTGGCCACATCCAGGCTGTGTATGTGCAGAACGTGGTGAAGCTGTATGCATCCATGCTGCAGCAGATGGAGCGGGACTCAGACACTGAAGCAGCCCAGGAGCTCACGCGGCTCATGGTGGAGCGGCTGCCCCAGTTTGTGCAGAGCGCAGACCTGGAGGTCCAGGAGCGGGTATGTACCTCCTGCCAGGGCACCTCTGAGGGGGTGAGGCGAAGCCTGCTAGGGGTGTGTGGGCAAATGGGACATGATTTAGGGCGTGTGATCAAGGGATTTAGGATCACTGGGCCAGACTCAGGTCGATCACCCAAGAGGGAACGTCCAAGGAGATGACAGGTTTCTGGTTGGTGCTGGGGGATGGGACTCTGTTTCTCACCACAGAGGAGCTGCTTTGGTATGAGCTATGACCATGGGGTGACAGCTGAGGGTGGCAATGTGGACACTGATGGCTAGACATCCTGGCTTCTGACACCCCGTGACATGGGGTTCTCAGTTTCCCAGACAACACATAGTACTTACTAGTGCTCAGTGAACTCTGGTGTCCTCCGACATTGAGGGCAGGTGTGGGACGTTAGCCTGTCCAGTGGCCGGGGACCCTGATTCCTGTGTTAGGCTGAGGACAGATGCCACATCCCTGGGAGCCCTGATTCGGAGCCTCAGGACGCTGCTGGGCATCTGGGGTACAGCCCTGTCTGGGCGGTTCTCTTGCGGGACGGTGTTGCTGTCGTGTCCTGGAGTCTTGCTTGTGGGGCTGGTTCCTTCCTGGGCAGGCCCCTCCATGGCCAAGGGCCTGTCATGGAACCTCCTGGGTGTCCTCATCAGGGCTCTGGCCGGGAGCGGCTGAGCGTCACCTTGCCTGGGCTGGGCTTCGTGTTGGCTGACTGACGCCCTGCAGTTTCTGAGTGGCCTTCAGAGCCCCATTCTCCGTCACTTATCCATGGCTCCTCTGTGGCTCCCATAGGCGTCATGCATCTTGCAGCTGGTCAAGCACATCCAGAAGCTTCAGGCCAAGGACATGCCAGTGGCGGAAGAAGTGAGTGCTCTCTTTGCTGGGGAGCTGAACCCAGTGGCTCCCAAGGCCCAGAAGAAGGTTCCAGTCCCCGAAGGGTGAGCCAGGCGGCCGTCAGAACATGGAGCTGGGGGCAGGGTTCGTGGCCCCAAGAGGGGTGGTATGTTCAAAATGAAGAGGTGCAGGAGGAAGAACCCCCCCATGCCTGAGCCCCCGGCAGGGTGGATGGACCCCCATCACACAGACCATACCTGGTGCTCACCAGCTCTTGTGGGGCCCTGTTGGTCCCATCCCTGGTGCCACCTCCAGGAAGTGGGTCTGCTGACAGCCCTCATTCACAAATCTCGGGGGCAATGTGGGGAGGGCTGTGAGGGGCAGCGCAGACCTCATCCAGGGTCCCCTGGGCTTTGCCTCATCCATCATGACCCCTGTGGTGAGGATCCCAGGGTTGGGCACACAGGCCAGAGCCACTGTGTGACCTCACTGTGCCCTGCAGCCTGGACCTGGATGCTTGGATCAATGAGCCACCTTCAGATAGTGAGTCCGACGAAGAGATGCCCAAGGCCATCTTCCACGATGAGGAGCCACGGCATGCCAAGCAGCAGCCGCTTGAGGCCGAGGAGGAGGAGCTGGCCCGGGTGAGCCTGGTGCTGTGCCGGCCCTTGTCAGCGTCGGTCGGGTTCTGCTGAAACGAGAAGCTCCCCTTCTCTTGACCGCAGAACTCCCAAAAGACCTTCAGGGCCCGACCTCGCTTTTGTCTCGGCTGTGTCCCCATCCTTGAACCAGAGATAGTCATCACTTCTTCTGGGGTTATTGCCACCTACTGCCTGTCCCCACACCTACTCCTTCCTATCACCGACCTCAGTCTCCCTGTCAAAGGCCCACAGTGAAACTATCAAGGGACCCAAGCCCTCACCGGGGCCTGGAGCAAGAAGTGGCCCACACCTGGTAGGTAACACGGGCTCGAATTCCATGTGTTCACTGTGCTGTCTCCGCAGCGTCGAGAAGCCCGGAAGCAGGAGCAGGCCAACAACCCATTCTACATCAAAAGTTCCCCATCCCCCCAAAAGGTGAGACCAGCCCAAACATCCTCCAGGGCTATCCCCTTGACCCTGAGGGACCCTGGCCTCAGGTGGACACCAGAGGCCACCGTCCATTGGGCAGCAATGGGCTCTCTTGGTAGATCCACGTGGCAAGACTGTGAGGGGGTCCTGGACACCAAGACCTAGGAGAAAGTCTGTCCTGAGCATGGTGCCCAAATTCAGGCTGCTCTGACCACTGGGCGCTGAGAGGCTACAGAGGTAGCTCCTGGGAGGGAGGGATAGCGCCTGGCCAGAATATTCTAGATCTTGGTCCAGGGTGGCACCCACTGCCTTCATCCACACCTTCCACACAGTGCACCCCCATTGAGGGTACGTTGGGCTCTCTGCAGGGGACAACTCCGTGTGGCGGGTGCTCGGGTGCGTCCCCTCTCAGGATCACTGGGTCCCCTGGTGACTGCTCCGCTTCCTGAGGGGCCTGCAGACCCTTCTCCACCCACTGGTAGTCATGTCACCTGGCTGCTTGATCCTGCCGTCCAGGGGCATCTGTTGTCTCACTGAAGTGTCAAGCCCGCTTTACTTGTCTAACTTGGACAAACGGATTCAGAGGGAAAAATTGATGTACTTGTTCATGCTACAGATGTTCCCCCTGGCATTGGCACGCCTCCCGCTGGGCGGTGACCCTGCGCCCCCCCACCCCCACCCTCCTCAGGCCGCCATCATCTGTCCCACCCAGTATGCCCGTGTTCCCTTTGTAGCGGTACCAGGACGCACCAGGCGTGGAGCACATACCTGTGGTGCAGATTGACCTCTCGGTGCCCCTGAAAGTACCAGGCAAGTGTTTGCGCAGACAGTGAGGGGCTGCGGGTGGCATAGGGACAGGGAGCCCCCTGGTGGCAGGTGTGGCAGGACTCCTGGAGCCCAGTTTCTGAATATTCAGAAAGCCCTGCCTGCACTGAGGTGGCCTGAGGGACAATGTCCATTCATCCCCTCGCTCTCTAGTGCAGACGGGGTCTCCTCCTGAGCTCCTGGTGGCCTGTGCATGGCTCCCAGCCACGTGGGGCTGAGCACCATGCCTGCCCGCAGGGCTGCCTACGTCCGAGCAGTATGTGAAGCTGGAGGAGGAGCGGCGGCACCGGCAGAGGCTGGAGAAGGAGCGGCGGAGGAAAAGGCGGAAGGAGAAAAAGGGCAAGACGCGGTGCCACAGCTCACTGCATACGGAGAGCGACGAGGACATTGCCCCCGCGCAGCAGGTGGACATCGTCACCGAGGAGATGCCCGAGGTCAGGCTCCCTCCTGCCTCCATGTGACCCAGCTGGTCAGAGGGCCACACTCGAGTGGGCCTGCCACTCTCTGTTCCCAGGCCTGGGGGTGGGGTGGGCTGGGCTATGACTGGACATCCCCCCTGTGCTTCCACTGCTTCCTATGGCCTGAAGGTGCTCGCCCTTCCCAACCTCACTGCCCAATAAGCACCTGACCCACATCAGACGCCCTCATAGGTGTGAACCTGGGCACCATTTCTAAGAAAGGGGGTGGGATTCCTGTTAGGCTTGAGCTCAGGGTCCGGCCTGGGCTGGGTGAACTGGACGCTGAGTCCATCTCTTCCCTCAGAATGCTCTGCCCAGTGACGAAGATGACAAAGACCCCAATGACCCCTACAGGGCCCTGGACATCGACTTGGATAAGTGAGTGAAGGGTTGGGACTGGGCGTAGGCTTTCCCAGTATTTTTGTGTCCTCATTGTCCCCCTTAGTCCTCTGCATTTGTTGCACATGTATGGGCAGAAGGGGTGGGTGAGGGCTCCCCCCCCTCCAGGCTTCGTCATAGGCTATGCGTGTGCCAGGTGGTAGGGGTTGCTTGCGGGAGGATGGGCTCGAGGCCTACAGGCAGGCAGGCAGCTCTTCCTGTGACCTGTCCCCTACCCCCAGGCCCTTAGCCGACAGCGAGAAGTTGCCCATCCAGAAACACAGAAATGCTGAGCCCTCCAAGTCCCCTGAGAACGAGGACATGCCTGCCTTGGAAAAGAAGAGCAAGAAACCCAGAAAGAAGGAGAAGAAGCACAGAGAGAAAGACCGTGAGAAAAAGAAGGAGCAGAAGGTGAGACCCTGAGACTTGTCACACCATCACGATCCAGGGGATGGCGAGCCCCGCTAGCCACCCTGGGTGGAACACCACGTTTCGTGTTCACATGTGTGTTCATCCACGTGGCCCTGTGGCTGGAGGGGCCCGTCCTGCTGCTTTGGTTAAGGCCTATCTTTCTGTGGTTTCAGAGTAAGGACTTAGATTTTTGGCTATCCACCACGCCACCGCCTGCCACTGACCCCAACCCATCCATGGTAAGAGCCTGGTGGGCAGGTGCCCTGTGCTGACCCCACACGGTCCTTTGCTGGATGCGTGCGCTTCCCAGCCCTGGCACGGCTGCCTCTCCCTCTGGGTGCTGCCTGCAGCAGCCCTCCCCCTCCATCACCCATTGGACCTTCCCAGGTCCCAGGCATGGGCAGATATGGGGGGCCCTCTCACACAGGGGAGCCAACTCCCATGCCCCAGGGCTTGCCCAGGCACTGGCTGTAGCAGTATGGGGTGGCTGGGCGGCTGGCCCTTAGCACAGAGCCCAATGCCCACGACCTGAGCAGCAGCTTTGACTTGTCAATTTGTGAAGGTAGGTGGGGCCCAGCGGTGATCCCAGTTAGTGCCATTTGGCCTCAGGCCAGGCCTTTCCCCTCTGCCAGTAATTGCACTTCCCAGCGGCTACACACCTGCCTTCTGACAAAGCACCTGACATACAGGAGGAGGCCGAGCAGAGTCGGCCCAAAGCTGGTCACTCAGGGTGTCCTGGCTGAGGGTGGGTCAGTGCAAGGGTAGAGGACGCCCCCTGAGCCCCACCACTGGGCTTCCTGCAGGAAGAGCCAGAGGCAAATGCTGTTGTCACTGCCCCTGAGGAAGGGCATGAGGAACCCAAGAGATTGCAGCAGGAGGACGAGGAGGTGCAGCAGCAGCAGCAGCAGGACCCTGAGAAGGTGAGGGTGCCCACCTGGTCATCTTTACTGAGGGTTGTTGGGGGAGATCCCAGGCCCGGGGGAGGAGGGTGGTCACTTGCTGCCCAAATCCCTTCACTGGGGCCGTCGGGCCTGCTGACAGTGGCCTCCTGTCACTGTGCTTGTGGTGTTCTGGTTTTCATGACCACTTTATTGAGCTATAACTCATACCACAAAGCTCAGTCTTTTAAAGTGAACAGTTTACTGAGTGGTAGCACATTTCTAGAGTTGTGCAACCATCCCCCTAATTCCAGAACATTCCATCACCCAAAATAAAACCTGTCCCTATCAGCAGTCACCCCCACTCCCTCCCCAGCCCCTGATAACCACTAACCGCCCTCCTGTTTGTGGATGTATCTGTTCTGGACATTTCACATAAGTGGAATCAGACACTGTGGCCTGTGTGTCTGGCTTCTCTCACTGAGCACCATGTGGTCAAGGTCCATCCACATTGTGGCGAGTATCAGTGCCTCCCTCCTTTTCATGGCTGAGTAATATGCCGTGTGTGGATGGATCACATTGTATGTATCCATTTACCCATTTGATGGATATTTCGGTTGTTCCACCTCTTGGACGTTGGGACTCTGCTGCTGTGGACACACATGTGCAGGTTTCTGTGTGTACACAGGTTTTCATCTTTCATGTCCTTTGAGGAGTTTGGTAGTTGCTAGGCCATTGTGTGTTCTTACCTCAACCAGCTGGGTCTTGTGTGTGCCCCGTGGACCCCGGGGGATTGCTGGCCTATCCACCCTGACATGTGTGGCCCTTACCGGGGCTCATTTGGTCCCTGTGTCTCAGGCCACAGGATTGGAGGGGAGGGCATTGTCGAAGAAGTTTGGGGTTGACCCTGACCTCTTCTCTGGCTTCAGAAACCTTCCAAGCATAAGAAGAAGAAGCACAAGAAGGAGAAGGAGGAGAGACCCAAAGAAAAGAAGAAATCCAAGAAGGAGCTACCTGCATGTGACGGGGCAGCGGGGCCCGTGGAGAACGGTGCGCTTGAGGAGGAGCCTCTCCCGGTGAGGACACTTCACTCGCCTCCTGGGGGCCCTGACCTCCATGCAGCAACCAAACCAAGTCTAGGAGCCAGCCATAGTGGGCTGGTGGGCCTCAGAGCCTGGCTGTGGGTGTCAGGTAACATCGCTCTTGCATAGGAGTTGTGCCCTGCAGTGCCGGTGTCAGGAGCCCCTGGGCATAAACTTGTGTTGTCTGGGAGGTTCCTTGCCCTCTGTATCTCATGTTACTAGTATTTCAACCCAGAGCACTTGGTAACCCACAGCAGGCCTCATTCTGGGGGGGCGAGGGGGCGCGCTCTGAGGCCCCGGCGACCCAAAGCTGAGCTGTTTTCCTTTGTTCCCAGCCCATGTCCAGCTACTGCCTCCTGGCTGAGAACTCTTACGTTAAAATGGTGAGCGATGTGGATGGTTCAGGGGTGTGGGCGTGCGGCTTAGGAGCCCTTTGCACGTGCGGGCAGGTGGCTATGCTACAGAGGCATCAGCGACCTCTCTGGGGAAAGGACCCCACACCACGTGTGTGACAGCCTGTGTGATTGCCAGGCCTGCTCACCGTGGGCAGGGCCAGGGCCAGGGGCTGATGGGATGGCAAACTATTCTCGAAGAAAGGACAAGAACACTTAAAAGTACAGACAAAATGGAGTCATGGTTTTCAGTGAGGACCCGGGAGCATTTCTTGACAGAGCGTTGCTCGTGCTCCCTCGGGTCCCTGTGCAGGCCTGGAAGGGGCCTCGTGGGCTCCCGCTGACCCGAGCCTTGCTGTGCAGACGTACGACATCCAGGGCAGCCTGCAGAAGCACAGCCAGGTCACAGTGTCCATCGTCCTGGAGAACCAGGGCAGCAGCATCCTGAAAAACATGGAGCTGAACGTGTTGGACTCACTCAACACGAAGCTGGCCCGGCCGGAGGGCTCTTCCGTCCACGATGGCGTCCCCGTGCCTTTCCAGCTGCCCCCAGGTGAGCCAGCCATGACATCCAGGGCTCAGTGGAGGCCCAGTGGTACCGAGGGATTGAGCTCATCACACTGCCTTCCCTCAGTCCTAAGTGCCCACTTACTTGCTGCCAGAGAGCTGGCGGCTTCTCCTGGACCCGCTGCACACCACCTCTCAGGCCCCGCTCTCTGTCCCACTCTCGCCAGGCATCTCCAACGAAGCCCAGTTTGTGTTCACCATTCAGAGCATCATCATGGCCCAGAAGCTCAAAGGGACCCTATCCTTCATCGCCAAGGTACACAGGGCCTGAGGCAGTGGTGGGGCCTGCAAGACCCTTCACGCCACCGCAAGTGCACCCAGAACCCGGGGACGGGCATCCTGAGGGCAAGTGAGGCCCTGGGTGGGAGCTTCTCCCACATCACCTGGATGCACCTGAGCTCGTCCCCACTCCTGCGCCCAAGTTCCAGGCCTGGCCCCTGCTCCCCACTCACCCTGCGCCCCTGCTCCCAGCAGAACGAGGAAGGGTCCACCCATGAGAAGCTGGACTTCAAGTTGCACTTCAGTTGCACCTCATACTTGATCACAACGCCATGCTACAGGTGCGCGAGCCTTCTCCCGCCTTCACCCCCTTGGTCCCGTGAGGCGGGCCCACCCTTTTTTCGTGCCGTGAGGCTCTCTGTGAAGTCACCTCAGAAAGTCGTCTGACCTAAGATGTGGAGTGAAAGGGCACAGTCGTTGGGCGACCAGCTTGTAGTTGGTGTAGGAAGTCCAGCTCCTCTGACATAGGCGGCTTGCGCCGTGTAATAAACACCACAGGGCTGGCAGCTCCAGCAGCAGACTCTGCTTCTCTCCCGGTGCTGGAGGCTAGAGTCCAAGATCAAGGTGCTGGCAGGGCTGGTTCCCACTGAGGCCTCTCTCCTTGGCATGTGGACGCCATCTTCTTCCTCTGTCCCTGTCCCTCTGTGTGTGTCTGTGTCCTGATCTCCTCTTAGAAAGGAACAGATCATGCTCACAGTCATATTGGATCAGGGCCCACCCTAGTGACTTCACGTTATCTTGATCACCCCTGTAAAGACCCTGTCCCCCAATACAGTCACATCCTGAGGTCCTGGGGATTTGGGCTTCAACATTGAAATTTTGGGGTTCAGCACATGACATTTTATAAGACCTTTGGAGACCTCCCAAGTCACAGGCACACAGGAGGGATCCCACCCCCTGGGGCTGGGGGCTTTACCTGCCTGTTGTCAGCGTCCCTTTCCTGCCTGTGTCCTTCCCACAGCGATGCCTTTGCCAAGCTGCTGGAGTCTGGGGACCTGAGCATGAGTTCAATCAAAGTTGATGGCATTAGTATGTCCTTCCAGAACCTTCTGGCAAAGATCTGTTTTCATCACCATTTTTCTGGTAAGGGATTTGGTGGGGCTGGCTAATGTCACACAACCTTTGTACCCATATGGCTCTGCCTGCGGGGCTGCACAGCCTTACCCCTACCTGGTCTGTTACAGTTGTGGAGCGAGTGGACGCCTGCGCCTCCCTGTATAGCCGCTCCATCCAGGGCCACCACGTCTGCCTCCTGGTGAAGAAGGTGAGCCTGCATGAAGGCAGCTTTCTCGCCCCTCACGCCACATCTGCTCCCTCCCCCATGGATTCTTCTGTGTAACATGTCTGAATTCAGTCTATTGGCTCTGCTAGGGCTGTGGGCCTGTGTTTGTGGAGATGATAGGCCTTGCGTTTTCTGTCTGGTTTTTTTCTCAGGGCATTCGTTTCCTCATGGCAGGAAGTGGGAGCTGTTGTCCCCTCCTGCGTTTTCTAGAAGACGTCATATGTAATTCGTGAATTTCTGAATTTCTTCCTTACACATTTTGCAGAATTCACCAGGGAAACCATCCAGGCCTGAAGGTTTCTTTGTTGAGAGGTTTTTATCTACAAGTTCACTTTCTTTAATAGTCATAGGATACTTGATTTCTCTGTTTCCTCTCAGGTGAGTGTTGGTAGTTTGTGGTCCGTTTCATCTGAGTTACCAAATGGATGTGGGCAGTCGTTTGTGGTTCTCTTGTCCAAGTGGTGTCCGAGCTGTGTCCCGAGTGGTCAGTAGCTATAGCCTTCCTTCATTCCTAATGCTGGCAGTTCATGTTCTCTCATTTTTCTTGGTTATCCTAGAGGTTTATGGATATTACTGACCTCTTCAAAGATCTTTTTAAAATCCAACTTAAAAAAAATAGTGTTTTGTTTTGTTGTTTTTTGAAGATTTTATTGGGGAATTGAGGAACGGGAAACAGTGTTGAAGAATTGGGAAAGAGGGGGGCCGGCCGAGTGGCGCGATAGTTAAGAACTGGCTTGGGATGCCAGAGGGCCCCAGTTCGGATCCCACATATAAGGGCCAGTGACACTGCCTTCTACAGCTAATATGCTGAAAAACAGCTCAACCTGGAGCTGGGCTGCTGTGAGTCGCCGGCGACGGCGTAGGCTGCAGCCTCTATGGCAGTGGGTTGCCATGGGCTACTGTATGTAGCCAGCAGCCAGCGTGCAGCGTGAGCGGCCAGCAGCCGCAGTGAGCGGCCATCCAGAAGCTGGCGACTGATCTGCCTCACCCGGGAAGAGCGCAATGATGGTGCCAACTTGGGCCGGTGAGGCGTCGTCCTCCACAACTAGACTGAAGAACAAAATGACAGCAACTTGTCTGTTCCCCTTTCCCCAATTCCCCAGCGCTATTCCCATCCCCCCAATTCCCCAATAAAAATCTTTAAAAAAAAAAAAAGAATTGGGGAAGAGGAACAGCCAAGTTGTTGTCCTTCAGTCTTAGTTGTGGAGGGCGCAGCTAGCTCAGCTCCAAGTCCAATCACCATCCGGCCACCTGAAGGCAGCTCGCGGCTGCTCAGCTCAAGGTGCCATATTCAGTCTTAGTTGTGGGTAGGCGTAGCCCACCATCCCATGGGGAAGCCGAACCGGCAACCTTGTTGCTAGGAGCACGTGCTCTCAACAGCTGAGCCATCCTGCCACCTGTTGGCAGCTCAGCTCAGGCGCAGCTCACTGGCCCATGTGGGAATCAAACCGACGATCCTGTTGCACAGAGCTCACTTAACCAAGTGAGCCACTTGGCTGGCCGCAAAATAGCAAGTTTTTTTGTTTTTAAAGATTTTATTGGGGAATTGGGGGAGGGGAACAGACAAGCCACTGTCCTCCTGCTCCTCAGTCTAGTTGTGGAGGACATTGCCTCACTGGACCATGTTGGTATCATCATTGCGCTCCTCCCAGATGAGGCAGTTCGGTCGCCAGTCGCTGGACAACAGCTCATGCTGGCTGCTGGCCGCTCACGGTAGCTTACAGGAGCCCACTGCAGCCCAGCTCTAGGTCGAGCTGTTCACCATCTCCGCTGCAAAGGGCACAGTGTCACTAGCCCTAATGTTGGATCCGAACTGGGGCCCTGCTGCTGAGAGCTGGCGTCCCAAGCCAACCCCCAACCAACGCACCACTCTGCCAACCCCAAAATAGTGTTTTTTAAATAAATGTCATCGAATTCTCCTTATCTCCTTCCTTCTGCCAGCCTTGGGTTTATTTTGCTCTTTCGTGAGTCTCTTCACGTGGAAGCTTAGACCTTTGCAAGGGGCCTTTCTTTGCTCATAAAGCATTTACTGCTATAAATTTCCCTCTAAGCACTGCTTTAGTTGTACCCTGTGTTTTATTTTCATTTCTATGCACTTCAAAACGTTGTCAAGACTTCCTTTGACACATGGCTATGAATTCTTAGTTGTTAGTTGTATGGACTACTAGGATCAGGGGTCTTGTGGCAAAATCAGTATGTGATGCCCCTCTTTATCCCGGAGAATTTTCTTTGCTCCGAGGTCCATTCTGTCTGATGTCAGTATAGTCACTTCCACTTTCTCTTCATTAGCCCTTACATGGGATGTCTTTTTACTTTGAGCCTCTCTTTATCATCATATTTGAATGAATTCTTTGGAGACCCCATAAAGTTTGGGTCATTCTGCCAACCTGTCCTCCGACTGGTATGTAGACTGTTCGCATTTAAAGTATTGCTATTGTTGGGCCGGCCGAGTGGCACATTGGTTGGGAGTTGGCTTGGGACGCCAGCCTCTGAGCATCAGGGCCCCGGTTCGGATCCCACATGTGGGCTGGTGGCACTGTGCCCTCTGCAACTGAGATGGTGAACAGCTCGACCTGGAGCTGGGCAGCCGTGAGTCGCCGGCATCAGCATAGGCTGCAGCCCCTGCTGCAGTAGGCTGCCGTGAGCTACCATGAGTGGCTGGCAGCCAGTGTGAGTGGCCGGCAGCCGGCGTGGGCTGCCATGAGCTGCCGTGGGCCACCATGAGTGACCATCCAGTGGCTGGCGAGCGGCAGCCTCACCAGGAAGAGCGCAGTGATAGTGCCAACATGGGCCAGTGGGGCGATGCCCTCCACAACTAGACTGAAGAACAAGGGGACAGCAGCTTGTCTGTTCCCCTTCCCCGATTCCCCAGTGCTGATCCCTTCCCCTAATTCCCAAAAAAAATCTTTTAAAAAAAGTTAATGTATAAAGTATTGCTATTGTGTTTGGATTTCAGTCTCCCATTTTATTTGTTTTCTGTTTATTCCTTCTATTTTTCATTCCTCTTCCCTTTTCCTGCCTTTTGGCTTCTGTGACTATTTCGTTTCCGGTTTTATGTATCTGTTGTGTTTTGGACGTCATCTCTGTTTGTTGTGTGATACTCTAGGGATCACAGCCTACACACTTAGCCCGTCATGGCCAACTTGAAGCTGATTTATCACCTCTTCAGGTAGACCACGGATACCTCACTGCCCTATTGGTCCCTTGACCCTCTCTTGTGTGAGCAGTTGTCCTACATATTGCATTTGTGGGCGTCAAAGACACCATCACAGCACATTGCACTTCTGTTTTCAACCTTCAAACAAATTTCAGAGAACTCAGGAGGAAAGTGGTCTATGTGTTTGCCCACGTTTACCATGTCTGTTGCTCTTTCATTCCTAATGTTCCCCATCTTCCTTCTCGCTCAGTCCCTTCTGTTTGAAGAACTTTCTTCAGCAGTTCTTTTAGAACACATCTGTTGTCTAGGAGTTCTTAGTTGTCTTTCACCTGGCTTTTTTTAAAAGATTTTATTGGGGAATTGGGGGAGGGGAACAGCATTGGGGAATGGGGAAGAGGAACAGACAAGCTGCTGTCCTTCTTGTTCTTCAGTCTAGTTGTGGAGGACGTCGCTTCACTGGCCCAAGTTGGTATTATCATTATGCTCTTCCCGGGTGAGGCTGATTGGTCGCTGGCCACTGGACGGCCGCTCACGGTGGTTCTTGGCAGCTCACGCCGGCTGCCTGCCGCTCATGCTGGCTGCCGGCCACTCACAGTAGCTTACGGCAGCCTACTGCAGCCCTGCTGCAGCCTACACCATCACCAGCAACTCACGACAGCCCAGCTCCAGGTTGAGCTGTTGTTCACCATCTTAGCTATAGAGGGCGCAGCGTCACTGGCCCTAATGTGGGATCCGAACCAGGGACCTGCTGCTCAGAGCTGGTGTCCCAAGCCAACTTCTAACGAACGCGCCACTCTGCCAGCCCCTCACCTGGCTATTCTTCATCTCAATATTCCTCAAGGCTTCTTTCGCTGTATATACAATTCTGGTCTTTTCTCTTGGTCAATGCTCCTTGACTTATAGTGAATGGGGTTACATCCTAGAAAACCCATCGTAAGTTGAAAATATTGCAAATGAGAAATGCATTCAGTACAACTAACTTGCCAAACACCAGAGCTTAGCCTGGCCGACCTTAAAAGTGTACCGAACACAAGATCCAGAAAACGCTGCAACACAGGATTTACCCTCGTGATTACGGGGACAGGACCAGGCTTCACGTCATAGCCGGGAAGTCCACACTCCTGCACCTTTATTTATTATTTTTATAGGGATTGCAGCTTTTTCTCTGGCTGTTTTCAAGATTTTTTTGTTTTGTTCCAATTTTCAGCAGTTAATGTGTCTGGGAATTGGCTTCTTTGGGTTTATCTGTTTGGAGTCTGCTGGAACTTTGTGAATCTGTGCATTTACGTTTGTTGCAAAATTTGGGGAGTTTCGGCTATTATTAACTACTCATTCAGCACTGCAGTCTTACCTCCTTTGGGGGTTTTGTGACCTGAACCCACAGCTTCTGCTGCCATTCCTCAGGTCTCTGGGGCACTGTTCCCACCCTCACCCCGGGCCCCTGTGCTGTCTGCTCAGACTGGATTGTCTGTTAATGGGCTGTCAAGTTCACTGACTCTTCTTTGTCATGTTCATTCTGCTGTTGAGTCGGTCCAGTGAGTTTTTTATTTTGCTTACCATATGTTTAGGTGTAACATTTCCATTTGGTTCTTCATGCCTTCCATTTCTTGGCTGAGATGCTGTTTTCTCTTTGTGTCAGAGTGTTGTGATAGCTTGTTGGAGATTCTCATGACAGCTGCTTTATACCTGTCAGATCTACCTGATGTCTGCCTCATTGTGGCGTGGGTGCTTACCGATTCTCTTTTCCAGTGAGCTGAGGTCCCCCTGGTCTTTGTGCTGAGTAATTTCAGACTATATCTTAGACATTTTGACTAATGAGACTCCGGACCTTGTTTAAATCCTGTGGGAAATGTCATTACATAGGCTGTAGCTGCAGGATGTCTGGTTCCAACGTCCATCAGTTTTCATAGCCTTTGTCCCACCATGCTTGGTGTTCTCAGCGTCAGGTATGCTGGCTTGTTAGGGCGAACTCGGTTCATGAACAGCTTTAAGGTCACTTTCCCCCAGCTCCTCCTGGAACCGTCCAGGTGAGGTTCCCAGCTAGAACACGGGGCTTGGTCATCACCCCACTCTGCCGAACTCTTCTCCGGCACTTCCGGGTTTGGTCGTGGGCCTGGGCCACCCAGGCCACTGCTGCAGGCCTCCATCCAGGCTTCATAGCTCCTTGTGGGAGATGTGCACATGCTTGTGCCATCTACCTGGGACCTCTCCTGTAGGACTGCGAGTAGCTGTGGGGCTGCAGCATTCCCAGCGGTTTCCCTTTCCAGGGTGAGAAGTCCATGTCGGTCGACGGCAAGTGCAGTGACTCCACGCTGCTCAGCAACCTGCTGGAGGAGGTGAAGGCGACGCTGGCCAAGTGCTAATTGTCGTCGGCGAGACCGCGATGGAGAAATATGTTCCAAGTGCTAGGTTTCTCCTGTCGCATGTACTTATTCAGCCCCACGTTAATCTAAGGCTGCCATATCACCGATTAGACATTGAGGTCATGTGTTCATTGATTTCTGCTGTCATCTCTTTTACTTTGACTCTTCCCACTGTCTTTGGGGAGAAATCCCTTTTTAGTCCCCAAACCAGCAGTGGCTCCTATAGCTGGGGCTGACTGCATGCCAGCCACAGGGGCTGCCCAAGGAGCCAGCGTGACCACTGGCCAGGCCAGGACCTGGTGGGCTCTGAGTGCGGGGCAGTCAGCGGATGGGTGGGTGGGAGGGGTAGCATCCTGTTTTTGTGAAGTCATTCAGTTTCACAAGTCCCCAAGTACCCTGCCCGGTGGCACCTGGGGAGTGAAGAATGGGCCGACTGCTCACCACAGTGACATTGATATTGCCCTTCACTCCTCACAGTTGCGGGTCAGGTCCTCTCTCCCCAGTACACATGGTGGGAAAAGGGTCATGCAGGCTGCTATCCATTGCATTCTGTGTCCCACTGCCTTGTTCATGTGCCAGGAGGAAAATGGTGGCAGACACCAAAGGTGGGGATCCAGCTGGGTTCCCTGACAGAACAGGGACTTGACCTTGTTTTCATTGTTTCCTGTTCAGTAGAATATGTCTTTGTTGGCCTTGTTAGGGGCAACTAGTAGAGTGCTACGATTCCAGGTTCCCTACTCTTGTCACTGAATGCTCCACAGAGTTTGTCCCACATTGTGCCCACAGCTGCCAGGAGGGCCTAGTCCTCGGCCCCATGGCCCCGGTGGTGAAGCACGTGTGTGCTAGGGAGGCTGGGCCCCTTTTAATGCACCTCACAGGCAGGGCAAGGGGACCCTGGCCCACCCCAGTGAGATGCAACTTTCCTCAGATATGATGGTCCTTGATGACGTTTTAATTTTCCTTTTGATGAAAACTGTCACTTTAGCATGTAATCTATTGCAGAATCCTGTGCAGTGATTCTAGAATCTCAAAATTGTATGATGTGGTATATAAGAATTTATTTGAAGTCAACATTCCCATGTAAAGGAGAGAGAGACATTACCACGCTGCTGTCATGATTTTGTGTCAAGATGATCAATAAACTTGCAAAGCATACATTTACCTACTGGGTCTCCCGCCCATGGCAGTGTGCACCCTGGTTGGGGTCATCACTCCACAGTGGGGAAGGGAGTGGTCATCGCACAGCCAGCATTTTTATATAGTCCCCAAGCTGCTCAGGGTCTGATGGGGGCTGTGGGGCACCCAGGCGAAGGTCACAGTGTGCTGGGAGCCCTGCCCTTTTTACCCCATGCACCTCCATCCCCTTGGGAGATCACATGATCCCCCATGTGCTATCCAGGCCCTTGGGCTCAGAGTAATGGGGTCCACTGACAACACACGGTGGCCATCACCCTCCCTGCCTTTCCTGGGACCCCATTGATGAGGGGGAGTAGTGGGAGCAGATGTTGGAAGGGAGGCTCTGTTGGTATTGCATTAATTCATGTTTGTGCCTTCCTGAGGCTGTGTAGACAGGGATAATTCCAGCTGAGTCAGGCTGGATAAGTGGACAGAGACCAAACCACCCAGCGCTTGAATCCCAGAGTGTGGGATGGCGAGGAGTGAGCACAGACCAGCCCCACTGTAAACCCCAGCTTGAGGCGCCCTGATGAGGAGAAAGGCCACCTCCAGTCAGCATTCGCCATGAGGCTCTTTCCAGCTACTCTTTAGGAAAAGGTGCATCCTGCAGTGGTGCCAGCGCCACAGGGGCTGGAAAAGGACAAGGCAGCAGGAATAGCAGTGACCGGGATTCTGGTGATCTGCCAGCCCTGCTCCCAGCATGTGGCCCTCAGAAGGGCGCTTGTTGAAGACATCTTGTGACTGCCATGGAGAATCTACCAGGAATGTCACCACTGCTTTAACCCCTGCCAAGTTTCCTTGACCTAAACACAAATGCTCCTGTGAAAATGGTGGCCAGCATTCTGTCAGGGAAACAGCAGAGAGTCATGCAGGGTCCCTGGGCTCAGGACAGGCACCTCCGGGGAATGCTTGCTTCTGAGCCTCCCTCCCTCCTGAACAGCTGCCCAGCCCCGACCAAGCTCCTCTGGGGCAGCCTCCTTCAGAACCCACATGGAGTGTTTGCAGAAAGCAGCAGTGCAGTCAGGTTCCTTGGGCTGAGATTCAGCCCCACGTGACCTGGTGATCTGAACCCCATGACACAGGCCAGCCCTGGTTTTCACCAGACAGCACTCTGGTTTTGAGTCATAGGAAGAACCCACTCGCTCCCAAGCTCATTTCTAGGTGAGCCTGTCCAGGTACGCTTAGGCAGATCCCCTGGACCTGCTATCTGACCCGGCATCCCGTGTGGTTCTCCCCACCACCACAGGGACTGCTTCATGATGAGAAGTGTCAAGGACATTTAATCATCCATTCAGTAGCTCTGTGATCTGGCCTGGCATCTGCTATATACAAACCCATTTCCCTTCCCCTCCTCCCAGCTCTGCCCAGGCTCTGATGGGGTGGGGGGACCCCAGGGAGCAGCAGGCTGCTCCACAGGGTCAGGCTGGGACAGCCCAGCTGAGTCCTGGCCCCACATCGAGGCTGGAGCACGTCCAATGGGCTGGGTGGCCATCAGTGCTGCATCAGGCACTCAGACGCATCTTCCAGGGTCAGGTTTGCCAAGAGTGGGGGCTCTAGACATGTGAAGCTTGGTGATATCAGGCTGTGGGAAGACAGACACCTCAGTAGTTCCTCTCCCCTTCTGGCCTCCCCCAACTGGTGGGTCTTTGCTGGTGACCTGGGTCTCTCCTCCCAGTGGGGGCATGTAACAAGGTTGCACACAGACCCTCAAAGCTGAACTGGGAGGCCTTGCCTGTTTTCTAGTCCCCACCCAGTACTCCACTGACTGGGGCTGCAAAAGTGTGTGGGTGGGTCTGCTGCTTCTGAAGTCCCACTCGCCCTGCTCCACCCCCCACCCCACCCCCAAGTTCCTGCAGCCTCTTCCCTCTGGGTGACTTACAAGGCTGGAGTGGTTCTGTGCATCCAGGTGGCAAGGAGAATGACATGTTTATTCATGAAGTGATCACATGGATGTTACACAGGTGATGTCTGGCATGTCCCAGGTGCAGAGAGAGCCCTACCTGGCTGTGCCCAACCTATCCAACACCCCATCCATCTGACCCCACACTATCCCATTCTTATCCCCCACCCAGGCCAGGGCTTTGAAGAAGATGGGCCAAGGGGGCCTTACCTCATGTTGGTGTCCTGTCTGAAAGACATGATCAGGCCCTGGTTAGCCCCGAGTTTGGGGCTGAGGCTGTGTCTGTGACCCCCAGACCCTTTCACTATGGCCCACACATCTAGGGGGGCCCTCCTAGGTTCTTACCACAGACCTGCCACCCACTCGGGTAAGGGATAAGACCAGACTTCATGGGGACCCTTTAACCAGGATGATGTACCCCCTTGTGCCAGCTGAGACCCTAGAGGGAGGAAAGGGCTGGGGCCCTGAGCACCTCCTGATGGCCGACCCCTCACATACTCACCCTACTGCCTCTGATAAAACTCACGTTGGGTTTGGGGAGGCAGGGAACTTACTTGTGCCAATTAGTTCTACAATGACAGTGGGTTTAGAGTCAGGAGCCAAGTGGCCTCAGTCTGGGTCCCCTCTCAGAGCAGGGCTGCCTGACTCACATGTAAAGGAGGAGGCCCTGCACAGCTGTCTCCCACTGTGCTGATGATCTGCAGGGACATGGGGCGTGGAGGTGGTGTCACAGGGTCACAGGGCCAGCCGGGTCCACCCCACCCTACCCAGGTGATAAGAGGCCAGAGAGGAGGCACAAGAGGGGCCCTTTGGGGAGAGGCTTGGACCCCATGAACAGCAGGGCCCTCAGCATAGCTGCCACGCCTGAGCCCTACTCGCAATTGTAGCCAAAGCAGACGACATGTGAGTCCGTGCAGTTGATGCATGAGATGGTCTCATACTGGAAGATGCCTGAAACACGAGAAGTGGCTACTGGCTCCCCTCCTCCAGGGCCCCACGCTGCCGCCCTTGCACCCCACAGCGTGGACAAAGGCTCACTCACCACAGTGACGCTGACAGTCGATGCGGCCTGTGTGAGAACAAGAGCACGGAGTGCGCCTTCTTAGCAGGCCCTGCCTGTCCCCAACTCCAGCCCACCTTCTCTGGTCTGTCCAAGGCTCAGGTTTTGTCCATCAGCCCCTTAGTGTGGCCCCTAGCCTGGGATGGAGTTACCACGGGGCTGGGTGGCAGCAATACTCACCGGTGCCTCCAGGAACCGGTTGGGGGAGGTGGCAGGGAGGGAGGGGTGGGATTTATCCTCCAAAGGGTCCTGCTGGTGCCCATGAGATGAAAGGGTCCCTCCCTAGGGGATCTGCTCTGCTCCTGGCTTTCTGACCTGTCCGTGCCAGCTGCAGGCTCTGAGTTCTAACGCCCAGCTGCACTGACACACTATCCACATCACTCCAGCCCCAACCACACCCTGGACCGGCACCCCAGCCTCTATGGGAACTCTGAAATACTCTCGTGGCCCTGAGCAGCACCCTCCCTTCCCTAGTCTTTATTGACTCACTTTCAATGATGGCATTCTGGATGAGTTGCACCTGCTCTCGGAAAGTGGCTCGAAGCTCGTTGGGGAAATACCCTAATGGGAGAAGGCAGGAGGAGAAGGTCAGGCTCAGGCGGTGGGAGAGGCGTGTCCTGGAATCGGTGGGCCGCCTCTTACCCGGGAAATACATCTTTCCCTGGTACAGCTGATCCATCTTCTGGTATACAGCGTTCGCCACTTGGTCCAGCTTCTCCCGGGCTGGGGGCAGGAAGAGGAGGCGGGTGAGCTGCCGGGACGGAGTCGGGCTGGACCAGGGGCGCGCTGGGGCGGGACCCCTGCACTCACTGATCTCCGCGGGGATGGCTAAGTGCAGCTCCTTCATCGTGTCCTGGCTCCAATCGGTGAGCAACGAGCCCGACACAGGGATGTCGCCCACCCACCAAGACTTGAGGTTCACGTGATGGCGGTAGAAGGAGAATTTCTCCGAGAAGTTGCGGTGGCAATGCAGGCAGCCGCGGGCCAATGCCGCGGTCAGGCCCAGACACAGAAGCAGCGCCATGGCCCGCCCCCGCCCGCCGCCGGCCAACCAACGGCGACCCCCCGCGCCACGCCCCTCCGCCGCACACCAACCAACGGCGCCCTCCGGATCCTGGCCGCGTCCCCATACCTCCCCCGGCGCATGCCCCAGCCCCAGCAACGGACAACTGATGAAGCCTGTTCCGCCTCCGGGTCCCGCCCACGAGCCTCCCCTCCAACCCCCGCGTCTGCAACCCCCAGCTCGGCCCCGCTCTCAGGCCGCGCCCCACGCATGCGCCCACACCGGTGCAAGCTTGTTCTGGGTCGTCTCATGCTCGAGGCCCGCCCCTCAACCTAAGCACGGCGGAAGGTCCTGACCCGCGAGCACCAGCCAATGGCGTTACCGCCAGTCTTCGATTGCCAGGCAACGTAAAGCGCAGTAACCGGGTCCGCCCCCTCTCGGTCTAGACGTCCGCCCCCGGCTCCCCTTCCGGGAATGACTCGGTCTGTGGCGAAAGTAGATCCGGCGAGGCGGGCGTGTTCGGCGAGGGCCGTGTGCGGTGTTCCTCCGCGGCAGGCGGTGCGGCCGGGGCTAACTGGTGGCGAGGTCCGGAGCAGGAGACTGGCAACAGAGGACGGAGGCGACTGCGGCCTGGCCGGTCGGCGTGAGGCGACAGGTGGGTCCTCAGATGGGTGAATACGGGCGATGGAAATTATAGTCCCTCAGGAGAGGCGAAGGCGGGCTGCGGCGAGGGAGCTGTAATGGGCTTTCAGTCGATTTCTTGTACAAATGTCACTTTGGGGTAAACCAACTGACTATCGCCGGGACCCTGCTTCCTGGTTTGGATCAAGACCGCAGGATTTCAGGGCTCTCGAACCACGGGGAGTGGCTTTTTTAAAGTGCGCCTCTTGCTTCCTGTCTTCGGGCACTGAGCACTGGGCAAGGGCTGTGCGCGAGGCGCTGGCGGTGTCAGCACTGCCCACTGCGGGGACTTCACAGCGCCGTCCCTGCATTTGCCTGGAGGGCTGGCATTTGTTTTCAATGACCATGTATTTTATAAAATGTTATTGAAAGGGGAAGGGGAGTGGTTGGAAAATACAGAAAGTCACAAAGCAGAAAGTAAATCATGGGCGACCTACCACCCAGAGAGCCACTGTTAACTTTGGGGTAAGATTCTTCCGGTCTTTTTGTTTATTATTTTTATAGAGGTTAATTGGCACACAATGAACTGCACATTTTGAAAGCATACTGTCTAGTAAATTTTGAATGTGATGCACATACACTTTGGTGTATTTCACAGCCCAGGGGCCTGCCTGCACTATCTGGTTTTGGACCTGCTTCTGTTACACATGGCCTGCAGGCAGCCGCTTCCTTATTCCTCTGTCCACCTAACATATAGGGGACCCTTATCAGCCCAGTTTACAGATTCTGTGCTGAGTGGTGCCACGGGTCCGCCTCTGGGCAACGCCCGGCCAAGCCCCAGCGCCCCTCCCCACTAGCTGACATCTTAAGGACTGATTTTCTTTCCCTCACCTGTTTGCGGTATCCTGTCAGGGTCTGTTATCAGAACTCATTAGATGAGAGTACTGAGTATGGAGTGAGAACACAGCAAGTGGAAGACCTGGCTGCCCTGCCCCCCTGCCTGCAACCCAGGGGGTACCCAGCTTCCTTTCTCCCTCTGGGAAAGCCCCCTTTGTTTCTTCACCCTGGAACCTACTCTGATGAGGTCTCCCCTCCCTGGGGTCAGAATCCAGCACCCACCTCAGACAGCATCTGTTCCATTGCACCTGTCTTCCAATAGATGGGTTTTTCCCCTCTTTTAAAAGCCTCTGGTCAGATGGGTAGACTTGTTGGGGTTATCACTTTGTGAGAGGTGTAAATGTCTAATCACTGTGTCGTTTTGTACACCTGAAACTACGTAATAAAAAATAATAATTTTAAAAAACCCTCTCTGGAGCTGAGCTGTCCAGGGCAGCAGTTACCAGCCACGCATGGCTAGTGAGCCCTTGAAACATGGCTGGTCTAAATTAGGATGTGCTGTGTGTGCAAAGTGTACAACAGGTCATGGAGATTAGTGTGTTCACAAAAGGCAAAATATCTCCTTAGTGTTTTCTCTATTGAGATGGTGTCTTGCTGCTTTTGGATTAAATGGAAAACATTAGAATATTAATTTCAGATGTTTCTTTTCTTACTTTGCAATGGGGCTACTGGAAAATTCGAAATTCCGCATGGGGCGCACGTTGTATTTCTAGTGCCTTCCATGGTGTCTATTCTTTCCACAAATGTATATCCAGCTCCTGCTTTCATAGGCTTTGGCATTTTCTGCTTCCTGTTTGTGGCTTTACTAATTTCTTAAATGAGGTGAGCTACTCAAAAGATTTAGCCAAATGCTTGGTGTGTTGTGATGAGTGATTCAGTGTTAGCTATAATTGTTTTAAATAGACTACTTTTTAGAGCAGTTTTAGGCTTGTGGCATAGTTAAGGGGAAGGGACAGAGATTTTCCAGTACCCCCTGCCCTCATATATGCACAGCCTCCCACGTCCACTACCAGAGCAGGACGTTTGTTACAAGGATGAACCTACACTGACTGACAAGGTTGACATCAGGGTTCATTCACTGTTGGTGTTGTACATTCTATGGATGAGGGCAAATGTATAATGACATGTGTCCACTATTACAGCGTCATACAGAGTAGTTTCGCTGCCCTAAAATTCCTCTGTGTTCCACCCATTCATCCCTCCTCCCCACCAAACCCCGATCCTTTCACTGTCTACCTCTTTCTGCTTTTTCCAGAATGTCCTGGAGTTGGAATCACAGTGTGTCGCCCTGTCAGACTGGCTTCTTTTCCTTAGTCATCGGTATTTAGTGGTGTCTTTTTATGGCTAATAGCTTCCTTTTTATTGGAACCTCCCTAAAGGAGAGACTGTGTCTTTATCATCTTTGCATCTCCTTCAAAGCCAAGCACAGTGTTCTCCTTGTGGCATATGCCTCAAGTAACTGTGACCAGCTGAAGTCTAAGTGGCCTGCCCCCCTCTTCCTCTCTCTCCCCCTTCTCTCCCTCCCTCTCTCCCCCCTCCCTCCCTTCCTTTCTCTCCCCCTCTCTTCCGCTCTCTTCCTCTCGCTCCCTGTCTCCCTCCCTCTCTCCCCCCTCCCTTTCCCCACTCCATCCCTCCCTGCCCTCTCCTTCTCTCTCCCCTCTTCCCCCCCATCTCTGCAGAAGCAAAATCGGTCATTTCAGCCCCTGAGGGGTTCACAGAAGTACCAGTTCAGTTCCTGAACTTTTTAGACGATTTATATTCAAACAGGTGTAGGGCAAACACTTTGGCCGTGCTCCTAAGTTCCTGGGAAAGTCAGCCATTAATCATTCTTCAGAAGCTGTTCTCACATCCCCAGAGCCTTGTAAAATGGAAGTTTAACAGAATTCCCCAGCACCCGCTGGGAACTTGGGTTTTTACTCTGAGAAGTTCCAGACGTGCCCCAGCTGTTGAGCCCTGTTCCTGATTTCCTGGAATCCCAAAGTTCAGATTGCTTAAGCAGAAGCGGGGAATCTGACTTAAGAAACTGCATTCTGGGAAGGACAGGGTCACTCTTGCTGCCTGAGTCCCAAGTAACACATTGGGCGGGGCCAGGCCATTGTCTGAGGGCAGCCTCAGGGGCACTGTGGGGTGCTGAGCAGCATCCCTGGCCCCACCCACTTGATGCCAGTCAGTGACATCCACAGATATCCCCAGACATCGCCCAGTGTCCTCTGGGGGCATGACCACCAAGGTGAGACCCACAATTGTAGCTGACTTGCTGGGAGCTCTTACAGCACCCAGGAGAGACTATGACCCTTGAATGGAAGGACCTGGCTCGTGGTGGACGGCTCAGAGCTGTGACTCCTTTCCCCATCGTTCCCCTCCTCTGAGGTCAGTGCACAGTCAAGTTCACATCCAGGATCCTGATGTCAAAAGGAAGCATGAACAGCCAGCAAGGGGCGAGTGTGTGCATGGAGTTCAGGGGTGTTGTTTCATGTGTCCTGACACAAGGGCCTCTGGTCAGTCAAGATGTGGTGGCATCTTCTGAAACCTTGGGCCGAGTCCTCAGAAGGAGGAGCCTTAGCTCAGAAGTGGACACAAGGACCCATGACCGCTCACATTCCCAGGCGACATGGTTTTGTGAAACAGTATATCTGGTTTTGTCCTGTGGAAAACTGAGGCAGAGGGAGGAGCTCTGTATCAGGTGCAGGATCCTCATGCTGGTCTGTGCACACCCCATGCCCCCTCTGTTTTTCTGGAGCAGACACAGAGGGTTAGGGACCCCAATTCAGGTCCCAGCCTACCTCCGTTTGCTGTGGGCTCTCTGCTTGCAGGCCCTGGGTGGGTCCCTCCTGCCTCTCCCGGCTGCTGGTGACTTACTAGCAGCCCTCGGTGTCCCTGGACTTGTTGACGCATCACCCATGTCTGCCTCCGTCGTCACACAATCATCTTCTCTGTGTATGTGTATCCAAATCTCCACCTTCTTTTAAAGACGTGTCATTGCATTAGGGCCACCCCACTCCAGTGTGACCTCACCTTAACTAATTACACCTGCAAAGACCCCACTTCCAAACAAGGTCCCATTCACAGGACTTGAACTTTTTTTCTTTTTTTTTTTAGCTGAGCCACCCTGCCACCTGTTGGCAGCTCAGCTGCAGCTCAGCTTGGGCCAGGCATCGAACTGCTATTATTCAGAGCTCACACTCTTGAGCGAGCTCTTAACTAACTGAGCCACTCGGCTGGCCCTGAACATATCTTTTTGGGGGACATGATTCAACCTGTAATGGGATGGGGAGTGACTGCTGATGGGCACAGTGTCCTTTGGAGTGATGGGAATGCCCTGGAATTAGAGGGAATGGTTGCACACTCTGATTTTCCTAAAAACCACCAACATGTGTAGTTTAAAAGGGAGGAATTTACAGGATGTAAATTGTATCTCAGTTGGGCTGGAATCTATGGGGCCCCTCAATAGCACCTGGCCTGGAGTGGCCCCCACAAACCTTACTACCTGCCTGCATGCAATACAAGTTGGAGAACCTCACCGAGGAAACCAAGATGTGAATGCAAAACACCAACAAAACGCAAACAACCGTCCCCCTCCCTGTGCGGGGGTGGGGGTGGGGGGTGAGGCCAGAGCTGCCTTAGCAGTGAGTGTCCCGCAGGGTGGGGCCTTTCCCTCCAGCCCCATCCCCACCAGGTCTGGAGCAGTGTCAGCCACAAAGGCAGATGTGGTGGCACCGGAAGGAAGTGGTGATGGGCCGGGCCACTGCACCTCTCTGGGAGGGTCAGGAGAGGCAGTTGCTCAGAGGAACTGTGTTTTGATTTGGTTTCAGGGGGGAAAAAAAGGGGAGGTGGGTGTGTGTTGGCTCAGCGGAATTTTGTCATCTTACCTTGTGTCACTCTTGAAGCTTCTAAGTGCCGTGTACATCTTGTCTGACTGGGAGCTAGGAGAGCCCTTAGCCCTGAATTCTGAGACGCTTGTCCCACCCTTCCCCGCGCCAGTGCCCTTGGAGGTGTTCTAAAAAGAGCGAGGAGAAAGGCTCCCTGGAGAGGTAACAGGATGTGGTGGGCAGCAATGGGGGTCAGCATCCAGCCACCCCTGGGCCACACAGGCCTGTGTATATGTGTGTGTGTGTGTGTGTGTGTGTGTGTGTGTGT